CTACTTCACTATTCACTATAGGGACTGCATAAGCACCAAAGACAACAAAAACATTTTGAACTGACGTCTATTATGCATTGCAGGTAAGGCACTGCTTGGGACAAGTTGGGTACTTAATCTCATGTCACTACAGACAGTTATTGTTGCTGCTTTGCAGAAATCCTGCCCTCGGTATAAACCAAAACCATACCCAAGTGCAAGTTTGCTTGGCAAGTAACATTGATCAGCTGAATGGCAGAACATCTTCCTCAGAACCCATTCGGAACTGAAATGCTTGCAGCGATTCGGAACCGAGCTGCTTTGTCGAACGGAGCCCATGCAGATTCGCAAGTCATGTTGTGGTTTGGGTTCAAAGACAACGATCTGATCAAAATCGGTCGTTTCTTCAACACCGATTACTGCAGTTGTGTGAGATGGGTACAAAGCTAGGTGCAAGCATGAACTGATATGTGATGAGCTTGATGTGGGCTACATGTTTTGACACTCACTGATAAGCTCTAAATCAAGGATCGCATAGATGGGTTACTCTAAAAATGAGTCGAGGAGTCTTCGTTTCTGAACTTTTCAGATACTGTAATCCAAAAGAAGTTCTATAAATGAAGTGGCTCGATCGTATGATATCCCTAACATACCATGAACGGAATCAAAGAAGTTTCGCACGACGATGAGCTACAGTTGACAAATTTAAGACAAGGAGGTTAGCATGATTTCCTGCGGCTGCAAGAGAGACCAGGTTCAAGTTCGCCGAATCAACTATTTTCTCTGAACAACAGGAATCATCCAGAGTTGAGTTGATTAAGTTGCGTACTAAACATGACAGAAGGAATGAGAACACTAAACTTACTGACTTGAGAAGGATGTAGAGGAGCTCCGCTGAGAATCGAGATCAGATTGATGGCGAATCGCAGTCCAGTTCACGTCGTCGGTGGAATTGTTACATGAGAGACGTTTCACCGTAGTAGCAATTGCTTCTACGACATTACACAGCACCTCAGCAACGACATTACTGGCATTCGACAATCCCTCGCTTGAAAAATAATCTCAGTGCAACATAGATGCAGATCCGCCTTGCAAAGACAAAACGAGATTAGTAGAGAAAAGCCCTAGACATCAATGCAAAGTATAACAAAACTCAGCTTTTGCGCAGTAGAAGTATAAAGACTTTCTTCATCATATTTAATGCTGGCTTCAAGCCCCTCCAGATTGAACCTAGACTAAGAGGGAGAGACGAGGTGATTCAACTGATGCATCTCCATTTTGTGTTGCAAGTGTTACTTCATCACACACACATGCACACACTTTGGTGTGCAGATTCCTGATTCTGAATCTTCCTGTCCACAATGCACTTGCAATCAGCGTTTCATGAATGAGTCTAGATTTGGGTTATTGGGCCCAGTAAGACTGATTTATTAACATTCAACTGCAAGGCACTGTGACCTCCAAAAGAACAAAAGCTAAAAAAGTGTGACTATTTCAATGAATGAACTGGTTTCTTGTACGAGAAAACAGCACCAGGGAGCATTAATGGCACACCCTGGGAATCACTTAATGTTTTAAACAAAGATATTGTGCAGCAATATATATAAATTAAAAACTCTCAATAAAAGCGGTTGATTGTTTGAGAAGATATAAAAAGGCCCATTGTAAGCACTGGATGTAAGGGATTATAGTGACAGTTGTGAGCCTACATCTCATACTAATTGGAGACAAAAACAAGGGAATAAGACCATCTTATAATGTTGTTTAATCACTTGGTGATGTCTTAATAGGCTAATGCACATGAAAGATAGTTTGCATTTTTGAGAAAAAAAATATGAATCATCAAAAAGAGGTGGCAACTAGACGTAGTAAGGTTGTTGGACCTTTAAGGGGGTGCCAAATGTTCAAAAATACATAGTTCTTTTGAAGAAGCAATGAGATAAGTGAATAGTATATCAATGTTTTTTGACAACATATAGATAGTTTGTAAAGAAGGTTGCATACTTTTAATGAGATGATATTATTGGTGGCATATGCTTAAGACAGTTCAAAAGATGCTCCCAAGAACAAAGGAATTGTCTTCTTAAAAAAAGAAGGACAATTGTAAAATAAAAAGTAAGATGAATGGATAGTATTTCGTTTTTGTACCCTTTTAAGATACAATGAAAGTAGTTTGGAAGTGCCATCCAGAGTAGTGAAGGATAGGCCTCGGTATTGTAGACTTTTAACATTCTAGAAGCGTTGGAATATTATTTCAACCTTCTTATGTTTCTCTATGCAGTATAAAGATTCCAATTATAGTAATGAACTTGAGATATTGATTAAGTCTTATAAATTTCCACTATAATTTTTTTTTTTTTTTTTTTTTTTTTTTTTGCATTAACCATGCTTCATTGTTTTGTTTAATATGATTCAAATGATGAAGTCTGTATAATTATCATAAAATAGTAAGATATATATAGCAGATAGTGCCAATAACATATAAAAGGATTAGGTCCATGATTATATATATATATATATATATATATATATATAATCATATACTTTAAAAAATTGTAGTGCTTGACAACAAAGGCTTTACAGCATGTTAGGCTAACAATCATATTTGTACAGACAAAAGTTTAGGATAAAACAATGACACAATTTATGAACATAAATATTAAGAAAAACATGAAACTGAATTAACATTTTTTCTTAAGTTATATTTTGTGTTAGCTGTATGTGTGAGGTATGTCAACAAGTTTCTAAATATGTTGTGTTCTAATAAGTTATGAGGCCATATATTATTGACAAATTGTAGGTATGAGGAAACAGATGCAAATTTCTTTGAATAGAGTTATAGGTATTGCATGTTGATCTGGTAAATATGGTTGCTGAAGTTTACAAAGAATATGTATTTTTAGGTATGTCAATTTTTCAAAACTGCATTTCTACATCTTAGACAGTCAATTTTATTTTAATTAGCTCATAAAAATCTTTGTACATGACTTGAAGTTTAGAATTTAGAATTTAGTTGAATAAAAAAATATTTAATGCTCAATGGTACCATATTGAATGCTTAAAAAGCCAATAAGGCTTATTAAATAAGTCATATACTTCATAACAAATATGATCAAAATTGATTCTGATTTAGGATCACAATGAAGTGGTCAGCTTCTCACACCCATTCAACAACAAAGAGGATCCCTTCATTTAAATAAAGCCCCTCACTCTGTACAATTATTTCTCATCCTAATGTCTCAACTTTGGAAAAATCATTACATATATTCACTGAGAGGGTCAAACCCACATGAAAAGTAAAGGAAAAACGTGGTACTGTCTTCCTTAGCACACACCAAATTACTACAGAAAGATCACAATTTTACTTTACTTTTTTAAAAAAAAAAAAAAAAAAAAAAAAAAACCTCATATTGAATCAACATGCACAGCCAATGCAATCACGGCGAGTTGCAGGTCATTTTTCAGTATTAGTTTATGGTGTTTTATTTTATTATTTATTGGGGGGGGGGGGCACGGTGTTATTACCACGTCAGCAACAACAAGAGTTGTCCACTTGGCCCAGGTGGGTTTGACTTAATGAAAGCCAACTGGACATAGCCCAGCTTGCTCCCTTTTTCCTCGCTCCTTCCTTCCTTGCTCTGTGATCCCATTTACTGATTTTGTCATGGATCATGCCAGACTGCAATACATACATTTTTCACTGCTTCTAAACTCTGAATGCACACCACAAGCCCCTTTCTTCCTTATTGTCACCCTTCCTAAACCATGGAAGGGCAAAATGCCCTTTACACCATTGGGAATGTGCTTCAGCATATCCCCCACAAGCCTATGTGCCCTTTCACTCTTGTTGTGGAACAATTTGAGATTGGATTTTTGTGACTAATGCATGTGAAATTAGCATGCTGAAAAGAACAAAAAACCAAAAAAAATCAAAAATAAAAAAACAAACTGATCACATGTGGCTTCTAGTGTGATTTCTGGATAACATGTTTTGTTTGGTGCATGATGGGAACTTGATGGTTGAGGTACCAACCTAGAGAAATCCATTCTTTTTTCATATACTTTGTAAAGAATTTGCATTGATTTCTGATTAGATCTTTGTGTCAAAAGTGATGGTTGGGAAAATCTTTGGTAGAGATCACTGTTGATACCTTTCAATGCAAAATGCCAATACTGCATATACACATTGGTTCAGTTAACAGCCATACTTCTTCTGTCATAAATATGCAACCCCAAGTTCCACAAATAAGACTTGGGTCTTAGCAACTTCAACTCCAGATGTTTTTTAATACTTAATTATATACACAAGACTTTTCAACATCAAGTTGGGGTTTTTGCACAATTCTGCCGTGAATTTATATGCCATTCATAGTTTCTATCTTACTTTCCTCCCCACAGATCCACCTTTTAACTAACCATGTATAATGAGATTTTTGTGGCTTGGTCTGCATGTCCAGTGAATATACATGAGATATAATTTTTTTATTTTATTTTTATACACTGGACTTTTCAACACCAGTCCCCAGGTCCATAAACAAAAATAAAACTGAACTGTTCAGCATCAGAAGTCTGAGACAGAACCCCACCCAACAAAACAAGCTATTTTTGAAGCAAAGACTCAACTACACTGCAGGTGGAGTTAATAATAAAAATAAGGCCGAAGTCCGGGTCCGAAGAAAGAGGCAGATATGAGGAAGAGTGGTGATGAGGGCATGATCGGTGAAAGGAGCAGCAGCAGCGGGGATGCAAACGAAGGGATCGACGACGGCGAAGAAAAGACGAGAATGGGCGCGACGTCGCAAAAGTGGTAAGACAGGGGCTTCCCTGTCAGAGTCGAATTGGCAAGCTATAGTTGACCCATAGCTATTTTCCCTCATGCTGCACTCAGTCAAGGAAGAGGCTTCGAAGCCGTTTTCTGGAAGACATCTCTCGACCACTGGAGGTTGGAAAGCGCTAAAATGACCACCAGTGAGCCACTCCTATCGAATACGAGACAACCGCGAGTTCTCATCTGGATTGACAAAAAACTAAAGTCCCGCCACCGAAGACGAGAATCATCTTGCGTTTGCCGTCTCGAAAGATCCGGAGAACAAGAACAAAGTAGTAGGGAAGGGAGGATAGTAGGAAGGTGCTGCAGGCTTACGTTTTGCGAGAGAAGGCAGGAGAAAAAGTTGTGGATTGCGAGGGGTAGGTTAGAAGATAGAGGCATCGCGAGGTAGGCTAGATTCGGGAGCCGGTGAGCGAAGGGTCGTTTGGAGGGACAACGTCAGGACGATTCCGTGGGCATTGGATCTGGAAGGAATAAACTTCTGGTGCGCAAGTAGCCAGCCCCCCTCCCTGCTTGTCTGCCGTGCTTATAAAGACGTGATCGGACCATTCATTCGTACCATGACAGTTTCCCCCCGCTGGCTGTGTTGCATGTAGTTCGATCACGACGGGTCTGGAACTGTGGATTGCAAGCCATGGTCGAATGATGTTGATTGGGAGGTTTCTATTCATTCACGCAGTTGTGGAGTCCAGTTTGGGAGAGGTTGTTGCTTACCGCAGAAGAAGAAGTCTTTGCGGCCGACGGAATTAAAACCAGAAGTGAGTCTTCGTGCATTGCAGTTAGTTTTCGCAGGGTCTGATATGCTCTCGGTTTCTGTGTGTGCGCTAGTGTGTGTGTGTTTGTTTATCGGTTTGGATTTCTCTATTCCATAGCATTGCCGACGATTTCTGTCGTTACGCAGTGTTGAAGCTTGTAGCGGGGTCTTCGGGAAGCCTTCTGTACCGGCTTCTCGGTTTCTTTTTGCTGCTACCATACCTGCATATTTTTGCTGCGAAAGAAGTGTCCTTCATTCGCTCCAGTTTGTCTACATGGTAGCTCGACGGTCGGTGTATCAGCGGTTGCAGGGATTGTCTCGCACCTTTCTTGGTTGGAAGCTGCATCAAGATAATCGATTAGTCATTGGATGAGATCACGAGGAGCAGATCTTTCAGCAGCAGTTGGTGCATTGATGCTGGCTTAACTGCCAAGTCTGTCGTTCCGCTTCGTTTCTTTGGGTCCGCTTGGGGTCGGTGTCATTCTGCGGAAGAATCGCCGAATAGTTCTATTATTAGTTAACAATAGAGATTTCGTGGAATTTTACGGCAAGAATCTCTTCGTGCGTCTCATGCGTGGGGGAATCTGTGTTTCACACTCCAGCTTCCGACAAAACACAGATTCCCCCGCGCATGAGATTCTTAAGTGTGAGGGAGGATGAAATTGAATCTTAGGTGCTCGATAGGAGAAGGTGTGCGTTGAACTGTTCTTCTTGTCCTTTTTTTAGACGAAGGGTTTTGAGAGGTAGCCAATGCCTCCAATCTTTCTTGCATCGTTCTTACATTCTTGTCCTCCCCCGTTTCTCAATGCACAGAAACTAAAGGAACTCGGAGTTATCAACGATGGCGAAGCTCGAGGTGTTGACGGCGTTGGACAAGGCCAAGACGCAATGGTACCATTTCACAGCGATCATCATTGCGGGTAAGAAATTCTGCTAACTAATCTTTGCCATGATGGGTAATGCAAATTTACCAAATCCGGGTCACGCACATTATCCCCTCTCTCCACAATTTTACCTTACCATTATTGCACGCTTTCTTGCAGGTATGGGGTTTTTCACCGACGCATACGATTTGTTCTCCATCCCCATCGTCACGGGGCTTCTGGGTAGGATTTACTATCAGACTCCTGGCACTGCTAACCCCGGTAGCCTGCCCCCGAACGTGAACGCTGCAGTGAACGCTATGGCTTTGATCGGCACTCTGATGGGTCAACTCTTCTTTGGATGGCTAGGTGAGATCCATCGCTCCTTTCAGCTGTGCACGTCAGCTTTTCTCAGGCACTTCGATGGATTACAATCCTGCACATATTTAACGTCACCGAATCAGGGAAGCCTAGCTTGGCTTCCGTAGACCAGTTTTGGGGGTTAACACTTTCCATTAATCGTTTGAGCTGACGGAATGACTGAATTGCTTGGTGGTGCAAACAGGCGACAAGCTCGGTCGGAAGAAGGTATATGGTATTACGCTTGTTCTCATGGTCGCGGCTGCACTCGCCTCGGGTCTCTCCTTTGGCCACACTCCCAAGTCTGTGATGACAACGCTTTGCTTTTTCCGGTTCTGGCTTGGCTTCGGTATTGGTGGAGACTATCCATTGAGTGCGACGATTATGTCGGAATACGCTAACACCAGGTAATAGATCCACTTCAAGCTTCTGCACATTGGGTCGTAGTCCGGGCAAAGAAAGTAGAAGAAGTGGACGACAGAGTATCCTTTCAGCCTTGTTGCGAGAAGATGTGACTGAAGTGCTCACCAATTTTTTATTTTTTATTTTTTTATTTTTTTATGAAATGCCAGGACCCGAGGAGCTTTCATCGCGGCCGTCTTTGCTATGCAAGGAACGGGAATCTTGTGTGCTGGCGCAGTCGGTTGCATCGTTGGTGGAATATACAACAACGTCGTCCATGCACCTGCATACAAGGTCAACCCAATCGCCTCGGTGCCAGACTCTGCAGACTTCGTGTGGCGTGCCGTTCTCATGTTCGGTGCAATTCCAGCTGCTGCCACTTACTACTACCGAATGAAGATGCCCGAAACAGCGCGTTTCACAGGTGAGACCGTCTACATGAGAATTTTTGGGTATGAGTTTCAGCAGAAATGATTAGACGATGATTTCAATTCCACAAACAATGACGAGCACAGAGTCGTAGTATTATTTTGAACCGTAAATTAAACAAGAGTCTCTATCAACTGTGGTAATTAGATGTAGAAATCACCAACACTTGAATTGTGTGCAAGTCTCTTTTTTAGACTTATCTTCTCTACCATGGTCCAGTTTTTCTGTTGTCTTGTGAATCACTGGTTATTATCTAACTGTTCGGGATCTGACGTTTTTTTGTGCAGCGCTCGTGGCTGGAGATGCCAGAAAGGCTGCTAAGGACATGTCTACAGTTCTCCAAGTCGACCTTACACAGGATGACGCGCGCAGCAGAGTCCAAGGACCCCAGTACACTTTGTTCTCCCCCGAATTCATGCGCAGGCACGGCCTTCACCTGCTCGGCACAACATCGTGTTGGTTTTTGCTCGATGTAGCTTTCTACTCTCAGAATCTGTTCCAGAAGGACGTCTTCACCGCCGTCCACTGGCTACCCGCAAGGAAGGAAATGTCAGCCGTTGGAGAAGTTTTCAGAGTTGCGCGAGCGCAGTCGCTCATCGCGCTGTGCTCAACTGTTCCAGGCTACTGGGTCACCGTCGCCCTTATCGACCGCATTGGTCGGTTCACGATCCAGCTCCAAGGATTCTTCTTCATGACAGTGTTCATGCTTGGTCTTACCATCCCTTACAACCATTGGTTACACAACTCTACGGGTTTCATCATCATGTACGCGCTCACCTTCTTCTTCGCCAACTTTGGCCCTAACAGCACGACCTTCATCGTCCCCGCTGAAGTCTTCCCTGCCCGATTCCGCTCAACTTGCCATGGTATCTCTGCCGCAGCGGGCAAAGCTGGCGCTATTATTGGATCCTTCGGTTTCCTCTATGCGTCTCAGAGCTCTCATCAGAAGACGGTCGCGGCAGGATACAGCAAAGGAATCGGTGTTCGGAACGCGCTCTTCCTCCTCGCGGGCACAAATGCGCTCGGCTTTCTTTGCACATTCTTGGTACCTGAGACGAATCAAATCTCCCTGGAGGACCTATCTGGGGAGAATGAGGAAAATGCGAGGAACGACTTGCCAGATGACAAGGTTGCTGCCCTTTAAAGCAAACATTGGTTTTGATTGAGGACATTTCTCACCTCTACCTGCAGCGTGACTTCATTTTACCAGCTATACCATCCCAACTGCGTGCAGATGAGGAACTCTCGGTTGCTTCGAAAATTTTCTTCTCATGGCTTGCACGAGAAGAGGAATTTGCTTCAGTCTGTTTAATTGTTTACAGTCTAGGGTCGACGGTGATTGCTTTGGTTGAATTCGGTTGAGATAAGGTTGCGCAACAGTAGAAGGATTGTGACATTTTACTGTGTTTAATGTTCGTGAAGTTCTGTGACCAAATTTGTACGTTAACAGAATCATACCCCGAATACTTGCGAAGGGGTAATTTGGCAGGATAATCAAGATTTAATAAACTCAGTTGTGATACAACAGTAGTAGCATATTCATAGACAAATTTGTTCAATATTTTCAGACAGGCTAGTTCGAAAACCTTGTGTGCACAACTCTGTCCTACCGGATTTGTTGACATGTTGGAAGTTTTTCCTATTTGTCTTGATGAGCGCTTTATTTTAAAAGGATTTATCATTGCAAGACATCAAGGCATCCGTGTCTGACAAATGCTTGTCAATGTCATCTTGTGTAATCTCAGTGCTGTAGCACTCTTCTCATTTAACATTTGGTACTCTCCCAAGTGCATTTAGAGTACTTCCGTACACAGCATGCCTTCTATTCCTTCATGAATCATTCTAAATTAACAAATAGATATTGGAAATGATAACCACATTCATTCATAAGGTTGTAAGGATCCATGTCGAGCCACAACGATCACATCAAGAAGAGTTGGGATATCCAGTTAACAATTTTGTTTGGCAATAATGAACTGACGGTAGAAGAAGTTGCGAGCAGTTAACGCAAATTAATGCACGTTGAAAATGGCTCCACATATCCGAGTATCAGTATAACAGATTACAAATACAATCAGAGAACTCACAAGTAAGAGGTCGATATGCTGCAACACATAAAATTAGATAGTTTCTTCTTCCACCATTATTTTTACACGAGAAGATCTTCAGCTCATCCTGGTAATTGCAGCATCCAGAAAGGAGACAATGTCAGAAACTCTATGTGGTGGCAGCCGCGAGCTCGACCTTCAGCCTGGAGTCGACACACAACGTCTCCTCGAACCGGATAATCTCATCCTCTGATCCATACGCGACTTGGGTTCTGTAGTCGGTGTTCACCACCACTTTGTCGAGGACTGATTGTTTGCCATCGCTGCTGTAACCTCCAGCATTCTCTATGAGCAAACCCAATGGAGCGACCTCAAACATCAGCCATAGCTTCGCTTTGGTAGTTGGAGAGGTCACGTTTGTGAAGATGCCCCTCTCCTTCACAATGAGCAACTTCTGTTCGAGGCATGCCAGCGAGCATGTCAACAGCAAGTTGCTCGTCTTCGAAGGTGTTGATGCAAGCGGTAGCACCTCAAGAAGCTGTGCGAACCTTGAACGCAATGGTGCGGGGAGCTTCCCCCATGCACACCAGCAACCTGGCGAGGTTTCTGTTCCGGGATAGCCTTTACTGAGAACTCCTCCAAGCTGTCGCCAAGTTCTGCGCGTGCGAGGGCCTTTCTGGCGGTGGAGGATGCCTTCACTGAGACTGCGTGGAATGCAGATGGCATGCTGGTGCCATGCAGGGAGCTGGACGTCACTCCCTGATTCAAATTCCAACACATGCCACCAAAATCATCAACTAGACTACAAGAGGTGCGCAGATGCGGAATTTATTGCATTCACCACAAATGGTCACCGAACTGTGCGATCGCAGTGTTTTGTTCTCCTCTCAACTACGATCGAGTTGTTCAGCAACCCCCGCACGTCCGATCGCAACCTTCTGATCGTTTAGGTGACAAGCGAATTTCTTCCAGAATCTGAAATAATTAGATTCTCGAGGCAGATAAGCTTGATATCTTATATCCCAAAATTCCACATGGAGGATTAACACGAAAACTACGAGATCGGATGCGGTCAAAGTCAACGTGGGTTGTGAATTATCGCCTTCTGAACAGTGCCCAATAGTGAACTTACCCCTGTGGTAGTGCATTTTATTCTCGATTCTCAAGGACTTCAACTCCGGCGACAGGAAGCTACTGATCAAACACTCTGAGGCCGCGACCAACGTATTGAACTTAAACTCTTTGAACTCTCCACGGAAGGACTCCAAGCATTGAGATTATGCACAAAAATACGTTTAAAGTCCATGAATAAGAAGAGTTCTACGCAATGAAGAAGAATTTACTCCACAAGAGGCAAATTTGGTGTCTTTGGATATGCTGAGCCATTAACACTTCAAATTCTATGAAAGCACCAGCTTTACGCGTCCCCATCTAAACAGGTCTTCAAGTGTCATCGCATCCAGCCAATGCTCAAAGAATTTTCTAAAGTAAAATGTTCCGATTCCTAAGTCCTTTCAATTCGAAGCTGCACATTACATGCGTGCCAATACGATCCCTACCTTCATCCGAGAAGGTAGCGCACTAGGCAATTTCCGCAAATACAAACTATGTGCAGTCCAATTGTGCAGTGAGGCAAGAGTGGAGACTCAAGATAACTGCAATATCAGACATTCTAGAAGAGAATTGGCGACAAACCAGAGCTGTGGAGGCGTTGGAGCGCTGAGGAGATTAGGCCTATGCTTTGGCTTCAGCAACAGTACTGGTGGAAGACAACTTGGCGAAGGAGACAGCAGTACCTGAAGCAGCAGCAGCAGCGCCCATGATTGTAGCCGTTGCTGATCGACCTGACCCAACCTTCCTACTCCAACTACAACTGCTATGAATCGACCAGACGGGCAATCGGTCGAAAACTGTGAAGATTGTTGGGAAATGCATGGATCGCAAGAGCTACATGGTTGCCGCTGAGAAGTGACACTAGAGTGGGGAGAACCGCACAAACGGCACTCTCGAATAAGAAATTTTTTATGGCTGCTTCAGCGCTACCTCCTGGTCCCGTGTTTGTTGATGTTTTTGTTCTCTGAGTGGCACAATCACAAAACCTGCTGGTTGCAATGGCTTCACCGCAGAATCTACAAGTGTGCATTCTCTGAACCCGTTTCTTTTAGAGCATCGTCAGGCTTGGTACCCTCAAGTTGACATATCCACGTAGTTTGAAGACACAGAATAGTACCCAACGTGATGGGTGATTTGTAGTGAAATGTTGCGTTACTGTAGAGGTTTCTGAAGTTTTGCGATAATTATCAAGTGAAATGGTTTATATGCAGGCTGCAGGATTCTGGTTTCAATAGATCTTTTCCCTCATTGAACTCCATAACTGATTCCACATGCACCTGCAATCCATTGAGCACTGTGATACTTGGTTATTCTGGTGATTCAATGAACTCTGCTCAATAATGTGTGTTTCATGATACAGGATTCTACCTTTATAGTTCAGTTATGTTGATCAGAGCCCACCAGGGGCATGGATTGACAAACTAGGGATTTCCAATAGAAATGTCAATATTTCAGGAAAACAGAACAAATTCCTCCCTGGGTAGGTTGCCATGCAAGGATGATGTCACCCCTAATATGGTGTTTCCAACTGTTCTTAGTATCAGTAGATGCTGATTCTGTTGATGCATGCATTTCTATCACAGTTGGGTGAAATGCAAGAATCATGCACCCATTGGAAGAATTTTTTTCACAGATTTCGGAAATTGTAAACATTGCTCTTAGTATTTTATAGTTTACAGAACATATTGTTATTCTCTAACCCAGCATGCATGCCCATCTTTGTTGAACACAAAAGAAAAAGGAACTTACAAAGGTTGCCTTCAATCCCCCCATATTAGGACTTTCATGTTGCAAGTTGTGATTAACAAATGAGCATTTGATCTGCCTTAGCACACACAGTCATCCCTATTGCTTGGCAGTAGGTGCACAGTAAACTTTATTACAAAATTGTAACCTTGGGAGTAGTGTTGGCTATTCTCTATTTTTTATTTTTTCATTATTTTTTACTCTGAGATTTGCTGTCAATAATAAATATAAATAAACACATCGCTCTAAGTTAGATGTCCTTCCAACTTCCACAAAATCAAAAACATTTGACCTCCTCAACTTTGATTGCTAGGCTTTGGTTGCAGGAATCCAATGACCAACCCTTAAAGTGGGCAACAAGCCTAGGAGATTATGACACTGGCACTCTACCAAAACAATCTGGATCCACAATGGCAAGTCTAGAGGACAGGCAAACTTTCCTTGCTAATTGTCCTGCCTGCATTGCTAAGAAGGATTTATTGAAATATGTTTTATTTATTATTTATTATTATTTTTATAATTATTTTCAAGTGTTGGAAAGAGTTTGAAAACTATAGCACATTGGTTGATAATAAGAACAAGCAAGATTCTACACAAAACAAGTATGAGAATCCAATAAAAAAAAAATGCATGGAGCCATAATGCCCATGTTCATGTGTGCATGTATTTAGGCTCCTGTAAATTTGCAATAAATTTTATAGATCAACTTACAAGTTAAGTTCAATTGCAAAACACATTACAATTCACATTAGTTTGAGAGTATGCATGGGCATATATATATATATATATATATATACATTGTAATAAAAACAGTCATTGGTTACAACTATCAAACTAAAAGATTGCATTTAAGAGTTTTAAACTAATGGTATGATCACATGAATTACTCAAATTTAAATCATTTTAATGAGTTCATAGATTTTTCAGGATGTTCTTTTATTGTGGGATGAGGTTCAAGGTAGCCTTTGGAGAAGAGAAAGAGAGAGAGGCTGTGAGAACAGAGATGAATGAGGCCATGGAACTGTTGAGATCATTAAATATAGCCGATGCTCTCCATAATATTTACTGTAGACTATAGTAAATACCACAGCTACAGTATTTAGAATCTAGTAGAGAAGTACTATTTATCCTCTCCTCTTTTCTCTTCTTGTATATGAGATACAACCAGATCAATAGATTTTCATGTGTGAAGCTCTCTCTCTTTAGAAACCCTCTTGTAAGTATGACTTACTACTACTCTTGTTTGTGTGTATGACTTACTATTACTCTTGTGTCTTTCTAAACATTCTCAACATGTTATCAGCACGACTCTCTTCTACACACTATGACAATTTTTTGCTCTAGTCTTTGACTCTTCAAACCTGTTGCTACCCTTGCTAAGTTTCTGCCTCATGATCTTGTTCTTCTTATTGGCCCCTCACACATTAGCTGCTTGCTTAGAGGACTTGTTCTACTCTTTGCCTTGCTTGCTTAGAATACTTGATCCAGCCCAACTCCACCCTAGCTTGCTCCCTGCTCCCTACTACGCCCCGCGCCTGCCGTCAAACAGCCGCTGAGCTGCCGCCGAACCCGCCACTTCCGTTGACGCCCTATTGCTGCTGCCGCTGCCGCCCACCGCTATTGTTCGTCACTGTCACCCTATTGCCCTACTGCTGTCGCCCTACTGCTGTCGCCCTACCACTGCTTGCTGCCACCATCTTATTGCTGTTCTGCTGCCTTAATCTATAATCTCCTAGAAATATATATATATATATATATATATATATATATTTTTTTTTTAAGTT